CCCCAAAAGGTACCCCTAATTTAGGGCCCCCATATTATTGCAACATGCAAGAAGGGGTCTGCGCCTAACAAGGCGGCAATGAAGCCCACCAGGCCCAAGCCAGCACCCAACTCCAGCACCTCCAAAGGCCTTTGGCAAGCTTTGAGGTCAGGGATCGGGTCTCCAAGTCAGGGGTTCCAGCTCGTGAGGTTGAAAGGTTTCAGATTGTGCAAGAATCTCAAGGGAGCAGCGCAAGTGGGCTTGCAGATTTGCATCTCCGTACCGAGCCTTCGCTCCTTTGCACTGGAAAAACCCAACGTGGCCCAAGCTCTTTCAGCAGACTGCTTCCCACACACCTTGCTTCATGGCTTTAAATACTTGCTGCAAGCTAAGCAGCGCCTGTGGAAAAAGACACCCAATGTATGCCCTGAACCAGCCGAGGCGCCCAAGCGAACTTGGAAGCAGCTGGGGAAGCGCGCAGGCAAGGACTATCCCGGGATCCCATATGTCTGTGCCTGCAGCAAACAAGGGATAAACGACAGCTGCTGAGTTGATTGCTGCGAAACTGATATGTTTGCCAAAGTGCTGTGCGAATCAGTTGGATTCTCTCGCTCATGCATCTTGTTGCTGCAAACATTTATGTCCGGCTTGCTTCTGCGTCTGGAGGTGTCATGGTCACCGCAGTACGGTCTAATGCTGAGCCTGTCTGATCACTCTGGTGGGCTTCGATGTCGTCCAACACCGTGTTTTCAGCTGCGATTGGCAAGTTCAACGCCGCGCACCTTGCTCTCTCCAAGCGCTATCTTTTTGCATGACTTCAGTGGGATGAAGCACTTCTTTGCGCAGCCTGCAAAAGCCCCAGACCAGTGCTTGTCAAGGAGCTGTGGGAGCTTCAAGATCGAGGCCTGAGGTGGTGTGTAGCTGGCTGTTGACCGACGAACATAGAAATTACCAAAGTGGCCCTTGCCGGCAAAGCAACGCAGAGGCAGCACATGTGTGCCGTGGTCCATCAACAAGTTCAGAACCGTTACGTGTAACAGACACCATGATGGATGAGCTTGGGGACGACTCCGGAGGACCACAAAATCAGCACAACCCAAGCACACATCACAGCTAGCAGCTAGCAGTTAGTAAGAGACCGCCATTCTCAAACCAAGAAGCATCTTGCAGCTTCTGCGGCAGTGGAAACAAAAGTCCGTACCTGGCTGGTTACAGCAGCATGACCAAGCCAGAGCCTTGCTATCAGCAGTTCTACCAGGATGTGCAGCTTGAGCATGCTGTGCGGCTAGCAACATGGAGTTGCAGTCTCTCCAGTCAATTACCTTTCATATCGAGCCTGCAGTCCGGTGGAGGAGGTCCCAGTCTGGCATAGGCCTGCCAAAGGAATAGCTTTGTATAAACTAGAGAACTGCTCTGCTAGGCGCTACCATGTTTTGTACTCGGCGATTTCCCACAGGACAGGAGTACAGCAAATGCCTTACCTTGAACTGCACTTTTGGATCCGGGGCAGGACAGTTTGGTAGCCCAAATATGTAAGCCAGGCTGTTTGCGCCATGGTCATTAAATCGAAGAATGTCTGTGACATGATGGTGAAACGTTAAGCAAAGCCTGCAGTGCCCATCGTTGGAGAGAGGTCGCCACGGCTATGGTGGCCCTCAGAGAACAAGACGTGTGGTGCCTTGCTCGACTTCTCCTCCTGTTGCCTGCTTCTGAAAATCTAACTTAGTGAGCAGCCACCATGTGGACATGCGGATCTGGGTAATGTTTCTACATGCAAGACTGGCTTCAAGCCCGAGCAACCTGCACCGTCTCAGGGTCACTGAGACCACTGGCGCATCCTGTTTCAACAGAACGTCATGGCTGACGAGAGGGTCGGAATCGAGGGCTGTCCTCCATGGGCAGCACGGGATGCTTTTCTCATGCTAGTCTGGTCTACTGCTCAAGCCATCAGTCCTCAGTGTGATCCGAACCTCAGCAGGCGATTTGAAGCGTCAACAGAAAAGGGGCACGCGAACCAGGTACCACTAGCCACAAGGCTGGCACATCTGGGTGTGATGCTGGCAGGTCGACAGCCCATGCCCATGCAGGAATTCGCCCGTTTTCCTTCTTGGATAGACAGGTATTCGCTTGGCTCGGCAACTGCTTTCTTGTGCTACTTAACGCACAGTGGAGACGAATTTGCAAAAGCATGCGCCTGACGTGCTGCAATGCGAAGTGATATGCTGTCGTCAGTCTCGGCATCCACGCGGAGCACTAGCCGCCAAAGCATGACATCGTGGCGGAAGCCGTTTGGCATCGCCTCAAACGCACTGCAGCAGGCTGCTGTGCGTGTTTTTGCGGAGATGCCATCATACATGTGGAAAGAACCTGTCAATACTGTCTGCAAGCGTCTGATAGCGACCATATCAAGCAAGCACCAAGTGCCGTCCTTTTCCATTGGCATGCGTTGTCATGCGCTTGTCACGGTGATTCTTGCTTGCTGCTGTTTCTGCCGGTTTGACAGGCTTGCCCTGACTGTGATCCTCAAGACCCTATGGAGTACAGTTAGATTGCCGTCGATCGCTGAGCTAACCACATACACCCGGTACTGAATGAAGCACAGGCCCAGTAGCATGCGGCGTTTTCCTCAGTGAGCTGCGCGGATTGCCCCAGTGCCCCTGCAGGAAGGTGAGCTCAGCATAACCTACTCTTTCAATCTGCTTGCAACCCAAACACTCAAAGGGCAACTGGCATTGCCGATATACTGCCTCAGCATAATTACATGCTGCCTGCATCTCATGGCCGACCACAGGATCCTGCGTACATGGCAAGCAGTTCTCTCTGCTGCATCGCAACATGTAGCAAGGGAGGCACTGGGGATGCATCATTCCCCAATTATCACGGTCCTCAGCGAAGATCCATGTGGACGTTGCACAGGCGTCATCGCAGCGTGCCATGGCAAAGCACAAGCAGCCTACACTACACAAAGGAGCATGCTCGGGAGTGTTTGCAGTGCCGTTGACAAAGCTCATCAAGTCAGCCAAGCTCATGCTTCACAGGAAGATTTCTATCAGCTGCTCTGTGCGGACTCCTGTTGGGGTGCACTGATTGGGCTACTGTCGGATGAGTAGTCCATTTGCCCGCTGATGAACCCATGCTCTCCATAAAGCATAGTGCAGTCACCAGCATGACCAAGCTCGGTTCTACTTGACTATCCAACATCCCACCCTTTTCATTCGGAAATTTCTGCAAAACGAGGACCCGATCTTAGACAAAAAACGAACTATACAACTTACTACAAAGCAGCCAGGAAAAAAGGTACTCCTAATTTTGGCAAACCACTGATGCCTATACTTCTAGTTACCCTTCGATTTCACTTTCCTTTATCTTTTTCATTTCATTCTTGTCATTGGGATGATATCATAGTCCAAGGAAGGCCCCCTGTCCAGCTCCTATAGGGCAACAGGATGGTCTTCCAACTTTGGGCCTTTATCAGGGAAAGAGGGCAGCGAGAGGAAGAGGAGGGGCGAGAACGGCAGGGGGAGAAAAGGAGATGGTGAGTGGACTACACACGGGTATCCTACAAGCGTATGGAACATAGCATGGGTGTCTTGCACTGAACACATCTGAGTTCCAGTCGACATCTGGGCATGCAAGATGGGGAATGCAGCTCCAACATCCAAGCTGCAGAGAGGTAGCGTGGCTCGGCACAAACTACTCGCGAAATATATCCCTTCACCCCAACCCCCCCTGTATACGTAATCCTTTGGAATAACAAAAGCTGCTAACTCTCAAGCTCCCCTCTACAGAGCTCTGCAGTTTGATCCGCGTATGCGTTCGATGTCAGGTCAGGAGCGAACTTTGCGCAGACCTGCGCAAATTTGCTCTACAAATTTGGGAAGGCTTTCTGGCATACTGGTGCGTGTAAGTCGGCTGCAAGCTGATTGTGGACTACCTCAAGCTATTGCTGAAATCCAAGCAAATCTGAGCACTTTTTGCATCCTCTCAGCAATAATCCCCCAGTCTTGACTGACACGTATGTGATTATTGCTTGCCTTGACCTGCACAGCAAGGACGCTTGACTTGCCCATACACATCCCCAAGTCTTGGCCTCTCCCATGAACGCTGCTGGGTTCTCTGCATCTCCGTGTCTGGCAAGCTCAGGCAGTCCGGTCTTCTACGCAAAACTTCAACTGTCCACAAAGCCATAGACGGTCAATCCTAGTCAAGCGCAAGCAGAACTTGCACCATGAACTTCAAGTACTGACGTGTTTCACACACCCGTGCTGTCATCCGCATTGCAGATCTGAAGCCAAGGCAGGGAATGATCTGATACACATGTGAATGCATTGGAGAGATTCCAGCAGTGTGCGAACTGCATCCTAGTCCCCCTTAGAGGTTATCTAGTGGGATGATGGAACAAAAAATGGAAACTACTAGTTAGGGGTATTTTACTATAATTCTTAAGCTTGCTCATTGTCAGGCCTGCTTTGCCAAGAAGTGGACTGCTGATGGCCGGACCTCAGCCACTCTGGCAACTTGGAGTCAATGAACGTGGAGCACAATGAAACTGGGTTGCTGTTAAGGAACTTAAATTACTACCAAAGGAAATCCTCTTTTCTACTATATACGGTATTATGGCAGCTTAGTAACTTAGTTTAAGTTCCTTCACGGCAACCTGGGAAAACAATTTTGCATTCTGAGTGCCTGTCTGTCTCGCCTGAGCTCATTGACAGAATCAATCGGAGCTAAGCAGAAACCCGTATTTATCCCTTTGTCCTGCCTGTTTAACCCTCTTTTCCATTTCATTCGTAATTTTCTTTCCCATCTGATTCTCCATTATTACGCTATAGTAGTTTCTATTGTCTTGTCCTTTCACCTTTCGAGCTCGATATATCCCTACATATTCTTTCCTGTTTCTGTTGCATTCCCCATTGCAATCCAGAACCCCAAGCCCTAAACCCCGAACACAAAACCCTGATTCCTCAAACCCTAAACACTACTTCCCGCTTATTACGGTACAAAATTCCCGTGTGCAGCGCCTTCTTTTCCTCTAGCAGGGCATGCTCTCGAAGGATCTCGGCCACCTTGGCCAGATCCACTTACTTGCTCGTTCTTAGTAGGGAATAAGGAAACATATTGGGGACTAGATAGGGTTTCTGGTTTAGGGTTTAGGGCTTAGTGGGAATGGGTTGGGGTTGTATAAGGATAATGGAAAAGAAATGGAAACTGCTAGATTATAATAGGATATACACATATATTTATTGGGGTTATAGTAGGGAATAAGAGGATATGATGCCAAATCCCTGTATAATATATTCCCCTATTCCCTACTAAGAACCTGTAAGCTTAGAGCCTGAAGAAAGATTCAAAGGGGGACTTCTCAAAACAGGGGCTCAAGGAACCCAGGGAAAAATGGGGAACATTGGAGGATCATGGGAATCTTCATTTGGGATTGTATAGGGCTTGCATATTGCAGAATCATCCTGTAATACGGGACTGAAATTCCTGCAATGGAGAACCAACCAATTAAGACAAATACGCATGGAAAATCAGATGGAAACTAGGGTTATGCAGGGATCATATGCGGATATACCAGGGAATGCAAGAGGAACAGAGCCTGGCAACTACTATACTGTTTAATATGATATGTTTTGCTCTCAAGGGCGATGGCCGACTCGCACTTGTTGGTGAGGGCGAAGATCATGGCTGTCTGGCCACCTTTTGTTGCTTTGCCATGGGCTTTGGGATTTGGTTCTTCATCGTTCTCTTTTGAATTTTCTTTTCCATTGTCCTATGTACCCCTATATATATACCCTGCACATGCCGTGTTGAAAGTATTTCTTGTGCAGCTGATTTTCTGGAAGCTTTGACCTGCTCAGCCAACCCGTGGTCTCAGTCAAAGTCCGCGTTGAGCTGAGGCGCGGTTGGCAGCCAAGCCGGTATTGGCTCGCGCTGCCAGCAGTGACCTCACAACTTCTGCGTTGCCTCGTCCAGCGGCCCACCTTTGCTTAGGGGCCACGCGGGATTGGTAAAATCATGGCCTCCTTTTGCATCCGCAGCAATTAAAGCCCGTTCAAGGGAAGGCAGCTCCGAGTAGGTACCCATCAGTGCAAGAAATCACCTTACGTCAAGGATGTCTTGGAGTCCAAACCTGAGACTTGCAGGAGTGACATTTAATGATCCACATGGCAACCCACAACATTCAACCCAAATGCATACTTGAGCCTAGTCACATCAATGCCGTGAAGCCTCCCAAATCTCTTGCGTTGACATCTGCTGCCTCCTGTCACAATGTTCGCAACTTGTGGCCCAAGTGCAGAGCCACAACTACTATGCGTCAACCTGAATTGCTGAGCCACGAACCTAGACAAACACTGCTTGATTCGTTTGGATCCTCAAATTCAAGTGTATGGATGTGCCTCCAGGAGAAGGGAGAGAATTGCGGCATCGCCTGCTGCGATGGCCTTCTCGTACAAAAAAGGCTACTCATCTGAGTTTGGGACTGGGCAGGCCGTGTGACCCTCTACAAAGCCAGGCAGGAAGCTGTATCGGGTTTGCATTCCAGCTGGTGCATTGTTCATAGGCTTAACGCCCTTACTGCAGCAATTTCCGGCGAGCGTCCGCATGCAACGGTGTGCGCCCTCGAGGGTTGGCAAAGTTGATGTCAGCTTCGCCTGCAGATGTCAGTTGGAAAAATTCTTTATCTGCGGCAACAGCCGCAACAGAGCTTCCCTAATCATGCTTTTGTTGACCCGTTTTGTTTGATGTCCAAGCACCCTGAACAGCAATACGAACAACCACACAACACAGCTCCCGTACCTGTACGATCAGAGTGAATTGCATAAGCATGTCATGAGCTACACTAAATATTGCCCAGATAATGAATAGACGTGGGTTCCTTGTTACGGACAATTTTTATAAGGCTAATGTTGACAGTAGCCCACATGACGCCCGCAAATCCCATTACTTCATCCCACCTTCCAGCAGCCTCAGTGTAGCTGCACGGCGGTCCCGCAGAGAGGCATCCGCCCAGGCAGCTGCATGGCAAAGAGCAAAGAGGGGCGTCTCGCCTCATTCTAAACTATAATAAAGTATACTATATTGTATTCTATTATAGTAGATTCTACAATATTTTAGTGAAGCAAACTGTGCTCAAGCTAGAGCGTCTTGAAAAGCTTTACAGTACATGCTGCAAAGTGTCCAGCAAGATCAGGCCTGTTGACATCCGCACGGAACTTGAGAAGCTTGTCGATCAGTTTAACGTCGCACCTCACAGTTGACTTGGAATATGGCCATCTTTCGTGGAGTATATAGTGCTAGTATATAGTATACTTATACATATAAATATGTATGTATATATATATACATATATAAGCTTTGCTGGCCAGGCCACCGCTCTGCAGCACTGAAAAGCGGGGTACGGCGCAGGTTGCCCAGAGGAGCATTGGGGTCCGCCCGGCCTCGAAGCAGCCTGGGCGGAGCTTGGGGCTGTGAACATCCAATGCGATGGAAAAAGGTCTCCCGAATCTGTCTCAAGCAAATGTCTGGTGCTGGAGCAAGTTCCTGTTGCATAGGCAGACTCCCTTTGGCTATATTAATTTGACTCGCAGGCGGTTCACCTCGAGATATTGTGATCCAAAAATTCAATCCTACATGACTCCATGAATGTCTTCCGAACCGCACATGTGCCCTTCCAGCCAAGCAGCGCCAGCGCAGACTTTTCGTCCACTTGTCCATGGAGCAAGATCGGGTCGCCAGGAAAAGTTGACACGGTGGGCTCCGCCTGCCTTGGATCAAAGTTATTTACTTACTCGTCCTGTAGTGGCGCGCATTGCGTACTTCGTGGCTCACCTGAGCTACAGTCTAAACTCCTAGCCTATACAAATGCCCTTATAATCCCCAAGGATTGTAGCCTCTAAATTCTTAGCCCTATATCATCCCCCATAGAACCCCTTTAAGGCGATTAGACTATGGCTCATTTTGGCGATATCAAGTCCAGGCAGCTCCAGCGAAGCCAGCTTCTGTCTGAAATCCTTCGTGACTGTGGCGGACTGACCTGCTGAGCTTTTCAAAATTCCCCAGTGTAAGACTGATGCCCTACCGTTTTTGTATGTATAGCACTTCAGGGTCTATATAACCCTGCGTTTTACTTATTATATAGGGTTCATGAAAGTTCCAACATGGACAAGAGCACCCACGCAGCGGCCTTGTAGCACGGACGATGGGTGAGCTTTCTGCTTCAAGGACAAAGCGTATGAAGACGTGGCCTGGGTGGAAACTGCTCGATGACAACCATTTCTACGTGCACATGGACGACCCTGGTTTATGCGCAATCGCAACTGCCATGCTCAAAATCTAAGTGTTGGGTCAGGATGTACTCTCTCGGACTATGATGTTTGGCTGTGGGTCTTAAGCTCATCTGGTGAAGGTGTAAAACACTTGTTGTGAGGTTCAGGAAGGCTCATGCTGAACACACGAATCTTTAGTTCAGGGCATGGTGTGGGACACGGTGTGATTTGAAAGCCTATGTTTGAATTAGGGATGTTGCTGTTCAGCAGGGTACTTCAGCACACCTGGTCTGCAAAAGACTTTTCCCGCGCATGCCATGCCGCTGCTGCCACAGGAGGGAGGTTGCGGCGCTTCTTGGCGCCATCACTTTCAGCACTCCGTCACGAAAGGGCAGCTGGCGACCAGGGTGTGATGTGCAGTTTGCGATATGGTGTGAAGATGGTGATCAGGAGCGCGGCATGGGCATAGTCTCTGGAGTAAGCTTATGAGCCTTGAGGAATGCTAAGAGTTGGTCGTGGAAGTACTGGGTCATCTTTGGTGGGCAGCCGGTGGCCAATCTCAGTTTCACATGACAAGTGACTTGTGTACCCAGATGGTTGAAACTAGCAAAATAATAAGAGGCAACAAAGCTTGTTAGCAACACTGCTGTGCTGGTAGTACTGGGAGAAATTACCAGGGCCTTCCCGCTGATGTGAACTAATGACCGATCCTCCTGGTTGCAAAAGAGGTGGCCGAGGCCAATACGAATATTGCCTGCCCCAAAATCAGCGCTATTGGAGCCACATATTGTAGACTGAAGCCGTAATCCTTTAGTGAGAGTTACGAGGGTGTTTTTTGAATCCCAGCATCATCATCATCACAAGTAAACTATCTCCTACATAATCCTTTCACACTGCCTCCAAATTGCCAAAATACCTAATCATACCTATATACTCCCTACATGACCCTGAATCCATCTTAATCCTAGATTCTACATGAATCCCTACATAACCCCAAAGCTTCATCCCAGGAGCAATGGCATGAACCAGGTCCACTTGCCTGCTCCTCCTGTGACATATTCCTGCCAACACCTGAAACAAATCGGAGGCGGAGGTACTGAAACTTAGAGATTGTGCAGGGTCATAGTGTTTAGTAATGCAGGGGTTCTATCAGTGTCATATCATGCCTCTTGACGATTTCGGACTTCGGGTGTAGGGCCAATTGATGAAACATATTCCCTACATCAATGAGTATCTTCTTGGCCCAAGCATTTAAAACCCTAAACCCTAAACCGTTTAAGTTCTAGATTTCATTGGGGAGCAGACTGAAGCCTGACCAGTAGCTATGTCACCCTGTCATATCGATGAAGGAAGCTGGTTCGAAATGTTGATGCAGAACGTCATCCCCTGATCCCTAAATCCTAAATCCTAAGCCGTATATCCTAAACCCTTTACCCAAGGCATCCCAATCTTCCCTACAATCTCCATACTGGGTGTTTCCCAGAACTAGGGGTACAATTTTGGGGATCCTCATAATAATGATATCGGGGTACCCCTATTTTGGGAAACTACCATGTAAAGAGTCACGCTGTTGTCGTTGAGCAACTGTTCGTAGCTCATTGACTCTGCCACCCCAGGATTTTGGGTGGTCAAAGCGCGGTAGTACTCCTGGACAACCTCCGCCTCCACCTCAGATCGCATGCCTGGCTCCATGTGGGAGATGAGGAACTGTGCAATCTCCTGTGGCCCGGAGCCAACTCCCACATTCTCCCAGTCCAGCAGAATCAGCCTGCGCAATTGGCTGGCAGATTTCAAGGCTTCGCAGTGGCTTTCCATTTCGTCAGGGGGTTAGGCACAAGTTCTCGGAATTGAATGGAAGTGAGCGGCCTATGATCCGTGGAGCCTTCTTTTAGAGCTTCCAGGAGCATGCAGTTGGCCGGGTGGAAATCACCGTGCACAAGGCTCCAAGGTGCTTTCCTCATCCAGGCAAGAAAAGACTGAAATCCAGAGTTTGCTGGCTTGGCACGGGCAATTGCTGCATCAATGCATTGGCGCAAGAAGGGGTCCCAGGCCACACCGGGCGCATCGAAGTCCACCGATGCCCAGGCGTTTCTGCACTGTGCCTGGTACGACTCCCAGAGCTCCTCCCCTTCACCTGACACCCAACCGGCACCTCGGATCCACGGATGCGTAGCCAGACTTGCGTCTCTGAAAAAAACGCCGTGCAACCTGCCAGCTGCCTGGGCGGCCACCTTGGCCACATCAAGAGCAGAAACTCTCGCAGACAGACCTCTCGTCTTCTCCAGGAGGTCTTTGTCCCAATTATGAGGAGAGCCTGGCCCAAAAAAGTAGCCGCTCTGGATGCCCTCACTCAAGTCCTGCATGATGATCTCTTTCTCCCCTGTAGACAGGTCACCCTTGGTGTGCAAGACCTGCGGGAGCATTGGTCGAAGCCTCTCATCAGAAGCGAAGGCCTCATAGAAAAGAGCCTCCCGTGCAAGGCCCAACATTTTGCTCATGGCAATCTTGTCAGCGTCGTGGCGCTTGTAGACAAAGCTCTCTGTTGTGCCTCCCTTCAGTGTGACCATGAGCCGCGTCATGGGACAGTTGAGGCCCCCAGCGCCAGTCATGCTCTCTGCAACAACATCGCTGACATCCTCCCTCTTCAGCCGAGCTTGGAGCCACTCCACGGAAAACTCAGCCATGAGTCTTTGCAGCTACCAGGATCTGACACCCTGTGAGGGAGCCAAGAGGGCTTCCATCAGCAAGGCTACCACCCATCAACTTGTGTTGGGGGTTATATAGGGATTATAGGGAATATGTAAGGTTTATATGGGGATAATGAACAAGAAACTGGAAACTACTATACAGGGGTGTAAACTGTTGGGCTGTTGGTCAAGCTAAGCACGGCACTTGGGCGGCATTTGCCTCTTCCCTCTCTGGAGGCGCTGCCTGCCATGAATTTCACTACTGTCCCTGTGACCTAAGCATATAGTAGCAATAATAGTAATAATGACACTGGTACTAGTAGTACTCATATGGGTGGTTGTCGAAAATCATGATCCTTTTTGGGTACCCTAAATATTACGTAGGTGTCGTACTATAATAGGGATCCAAAAAGGAAACCATAATTTTGACAACCACCCATATTACTATTATAGCAATAATAGAAATAATACTAGCAATAGGAATAATCACAATAGATGCAACCCAGCGCCTTCTCAGGGCCAGCCTCACACTTTGTAGGAGATACCTGACCAGGGCAACTCGAATGTCATATCATTATTATTACTACTACTAGTTTTATCATCATATTAATATTACTCGTATATTGCTCTAGTCTTTGCTAGAAAGAGCAACGCGACCTTTCAACGCCTACAGTATCAGCCCTCTGCAAGCTTTTGTCGGCCTGACGGGGACATTGGCCTGCTGCTTCCTCGACCACACCTGGCATCAGGCATCACTTTGTACCGGTTTTCTCTGTACATGCCAAGTTCTGTCCTCGCCAACCAGTCTTTTGAGTGCCCCTCTTGGGCCCCCTGCCGTCTGGGGGCAGGTCGTCGAAGTCGAAGAAGCTGTGCGCCGAGGCGGCCGACCTGGATGCAAACGGTCGCATTTATATAAGGGGTGAACGTTTGGCTGGATTGATTTGGCAGGATGATCTGCAGGATCTACGCACCCCAATGGGCAGCTGAAATGATTGCATAGCATTTCTGAACCCTCTGCCTGGGTCTCAGGCGCCTCTGCTTCTGCCCGCAGGCATGCCGCGTGAAAGCGAAGGATCCTTGGCAAATAGTTCGCCCACTACTGATGGGATGTCAAGTTCTGGGATCGTATGGTCTCCATTTTGCATCCTCATCTCTCAAAGCTGAAGCTACCTTGTTGCAGCCATCGCTGCTCTTCCAGCGCTGTTGCGTCTGGCGTGGGTCCTGGAGCGCGCTGCTCCACGGGAAATGCCTTTACGGACAGCTGAAAGAGACGGCAAGCAGTCAAGCAAGCCTAGGCAGTTGAATCTGGGAAGAGGCACTTGTGCAGTCATGTCTTGCCCGACTCGTCGGCATCACTCATTGCACGGGCACACGGCCAGCATTCCCACTTCACGCAGTTTGCAGAGTTGCGGTGGTTGGATAAGACGACCTTGTTGGTATCTGTGTGTTGTTGATGCTGCATACAGCTACAACAGGAATCATGCCAACATCAGCGTCTGCATGGTGTACAATCACACTGTTCTCATCACCGCTCTCTGCGGCTATCATGACAGTATGCGGCTTTGCCATTCTCCCCACCATACTCATGCAATTAGCATCCTCGGTCTGTTCTCTCTTTTGTTTGCGCAGCTGCGCACAGCTCCGGATGTCAAGCCTTGAAACTCTTAGATCTTGGATCTCCAGCAAGGAGTACCATGGAGTACCATACACAGCTTTTGCGCCCTCTGAAAGACTGGACAATGTACAGCAATCTCCTGGCCCGGTCAGGTGAGGCTACAGTAACGCGGGAGATTGTTGACCTGCCATTGTCCAGAGCGCAAAAAAGACCCCAAAGCCAGGAAAATGAGGCTCGCTGCAACTGTCATCGTTCTTGAGCTACTCCAGTCGCAGCTTATTCATGTAAACCGTCTTTGCTCAACTTACTAGTCGCATGAGCCCAACATCTTCGCAGGCTTTGTGCTTGCCCCTGCAAGGCTGAGGTCAGCACTCATGGAAGCTGTCAGTGTCAGATAAGCAGCAGTGCTACAAGATGACATTCCATAGCATTTACTGAATTCACTGTCGTTTACTGAGTGTACCTTCCACTGGCACTCTTTGACACCCGCTCCGCAAGCTGCTGATGGGCCTCGAACATCCTTACTGGCTGAGCCAGGGTGGAACTTCAGGCCTGTTCTTGAACCTTTGCGGTGAATACGCGTATCCTTCTTTCAGTGACTAACCAGTCCTGGCATCTCCAGCCGGAACATTTCAGAAAAAGCCAGGGAAGCGAAAATGCCAAGTTGTGCAGCTCCTTTCATCTTACGTTGAGAGTCAGGCTCCGCAGCCGAGGAACATTCGTGTCACGCCGATGAAGCCTTTCATTTCAGTATGATCCTCGGCGTGATCTTGAAAGCCAGAAGTAGAGTGAAAGGAAGATCTGGCGTCAACGCTACATTGTAGCTGAGGCTACTTGAGGACGAGGCTGGTGACCCTAATGCATGCAGGTATGAGGCTGTGATGATTCGTCGTTGGCTAGATCTTCCTCTCCAGCTTGTGAAAACTTCCCAGCAGCAACAAACCCGCGGCACGTGGCACGGCGGGACAAACAAAACCCGGCTATACGCAGTTTCAAAACAATGTGGCTTCGCACGGCTTGCTTGGTACCTTCACGGTATCAGGCAGCTTTCAAGGGTGTGTCAAAGGACAAGGTCGATGATCCAATCGCAAACCCATCCTGCCGCATGGCGGCAAGGCTTGTACTCGGAGATTGTACTTTCGGCCAGCTCTGCGCATTACCCTACCAGACCTTGTCACAAGACGTACAGCAAACCTCCGCTGAGGTCTTCTTTGTGGTTGACTTTGCTGGGATGTGTTCATATACGTGACAGCCCAGCTCCTCCTCGAAAAGGTTCTGAGCGTGCTTGGAATAATCCTTTCCTAGTAGAAGGGCTTCCAACTGTTGATGTGGGGGTGGGGAGGATGTCTGTCTGCCACTCCCTGTCCGAATGCAGCACCGGACAGCTGTCCTCAAGACGAATTGCGCGCATCAGGGGAAGACGTCCCGGCATTTTCTGGCAGGGCAGCTGCGCTTCCCTGCCAGGAGCTGCGCAGGCGCACTGTACAAGCCTGAAGTGGCCTAAGCAGGCAGTGCATAACAACTCTGACTTGCGACCCTCCGGAGTTCCTCTAAGCATTCAAAGGTAAAGATGTACAGGACTGTTATCCTGAAGTAGGGCTGATGTACACAAAACGCAACAAGTTGCTTGGATGTGGAACGCTATTGAGGTATCCTCCCGTCAGAGTCCTGAGAGCACAGGAAAGGCCGCTTGAGCAAACTGACAGTGCAAAGTCAAGCAAGGTGAAGACCTTGTTTGCCCCCTTGCTTTAAGTTATGGGGGTTTCCCAAAATTAGGGATGCCTTTTTTGGTGCCCCCATACTAGGGATTATAGTATTTGAGGGTTTATATCGGGATTCTCCTGATTTTGGGAAACTACCTCATCTAGTTGTTATTGCAGAAACATTAGAGGGGGCTTGCGCGCTAAGTAATGAACTTCTTGCTGCTGCATACGTTGCGATTGCCAGGACTACCTTAGGTAATCTTGGAAATGGTGTCTCGAGATAAACTTCTGGGCTTATTCCCTTGAAACGCAAGATTCGACAACGATTATGGCAATCACAGCATTGTGACCGAAGCACACTGCAGGTAGTTCTGTAATTTATACAGCACGGATGCCAGCAAAAACCGACAATAAATTTCAGGGCACTGAGGGGCAAAGGCATCACTTTCTATTTAGCAGCATTGATGCGGATTCCGCAAGACATATGCAGTGCTCAAGCCAGCCTTAACCATGGTGGAGGCAGATGCTATCTAAGGGAAGAAGCACAGATCCTTTGATGGCCTAGCTTCTTTGGTTGCGCAGCTATAAGATTACGACCACGAGCTGCGCAACCTGCTCCAAAGCCAGGACCGAAGCCAGGTTCTGAGCTTCAAGTTGCAGGGCGATTGAGTCCATGCGCGGAATGCCATGGGCACCGGAGTAGCTTGCAGCGTTTCAAGATTCCGCTGTCGAAAGTGAATAGCCTGTGCCTCTTCCCACTGGCCAAGTCGTTGCAAAACTCCCTTCGCGTGGGTGCCAGGGCATAATCAATTTGAGCTGGATGCTGTGGATGTCAACTTTATGACAGGAAGCGTAGGCCCACGCGACGTTTTGCAAAGGACTTGTCTCAGAGCATCTAACTCACTTTACCTCAGGAAGCTATGTCGTTTCATTGCAATGAATTTCTGCTCACGTCTTGTGTCGGTGATGGAACCTTGCAAGATGAGTGCAAATGAGCAAAGGGTCCATTGGCTCCTCTATCGGAATGCTAGAAGCCAGTCTTGGGATTTCACGGTGCGTACCGTGTCCTGCACCACGTCCCGCAGAGGGGGTCCATCTGGGTAGATCTGAGAGCCCACTAGGCGGACGAGTCCTGGCGGCATCGGGCCTACCCTTACGATGACATGATTGCCAGGATTATTACGGCCATGACTGCTTCTCATTTGATACATGCTTGCCGTTCCTTCAAATGTTGCTACTCATTCAGAAACGCCGGCCTGGGTTGCCAGCCAACGGCAAAAGAATTTTGCTGGCCACGAGGAGCCTCTGTTGCAAGCTTTATGAGCCTATATGCATTAGGTGGGGCATTGCCAGTTCCAAGGACACTCTGTCATGCTGTTGACAATCCACAGTGTAGAGACATGGGGCAGAACTCATTCATTCATGGCTTCAAAACATCACCACATTCGTCAAGCAGCGCCCTACTTGCTCTGAGCCTACAACCAGGCAGCAATCAAACAAAAGGAGGGACCTTGACAAGGCTTATCCAAGCGAACCATTCCCAACCCAAAGAGCCCTAAATAGCTCAGAATGAAGACTAGCCACGGTTTCTAAAAGTATTGAGGAAGCCCGCAAACTTTCACATTATTCCACGTTTGTATTACACCCTTGGACAACATAGCCTTCATGCAAATACAAAA